TCTTCTTCTTCTTCTTCTTCTTCTTCTTCTTCTTCTTCTTCTTCTTCTTCTTCTTCTTCTTCTTCTTCTTCTTCTTCTTCTTCCTCCCCCTTCACTTTTCCAGTTTTAAGTTGCTTGGCTTAATATTAAACACACTTTTACAATATCAAAGGTTCTGAATTCTTTTCTCATCCAGCCTCAAACGACAACCTGGAGTGTGCAAAGGACAGTAACAAGACGCTGGCGTCTTTCTGTGCCGCTGGATTTACCCGTGGTCTGCTCGACGTGTTTGGTTTGCACAAGGAGCGGAGGGCGCCACAGGATGTGCTGCGAGGTATCGCCTGCAGGTAAAGACAGGGACGTAATGAAAGGACAGTCGCCATTGTCAATGGCTCAGGTTGAAGGAATGATAATATTTGAGAGTTGTTCCAAAAATGTGAAGACTAAGGGGGAGAAGCACAGATGGCTAATTAATTTATATTTTTTTCTTGGGTTTTGGCACTTGGATTTTGCAGGGCCCTTGCTGACTATCATATATAAAATTAATATTGTGACGAAAAAACCCGCAGAAGTCAAGAAAGATAACTTTTTTTAAAGGGAAAGTGAAAAGAGGGAGTACCAAAGTAGTTAAAGACAAAATTTCAATTTTCTTGAAAACGTCTTAGCGTGTATAAGGTGGTTTATTTTTCGTTGATTAACTGGAATAGTCTTGTTAAAGATAAGAGACATGGATGCTGGGTCTTCTTTAACTCATTTCGGAATGCTGCATTTGCTACTTGTAACTTAGTTTCCAACAATCACAGCAATAGCAACAAATGCTAGACTTACCAGCAATATTAACTCTGACAATAGGAGTTACAACAATATAATGAGATTTATGTTATTAATGTAATATCGTTGTTTTAAGGAGAGTGTAAAGAATTGTCTTTTCTCTCAAGTATATGTCCATTTGGTCCACTAATGTTTGACTTCAATTATGGGGGCAGAAAGTCTATAACTGAGGATTTATACGGACCAACACAAATATGCCCATCAAATTATGTTTAATATAATGTTACTTCTCAACCCGGATTTGTCCTGTATAACCTAAATTGTGTCGATAGGGACTTAAAACATCCTCAATTTCATTTTCTACCCCCAGCGTGACCAAACAGACGACATTTTGTATCAAGGACACTCTTCCAGGGTGCTCGGAGGACGTTCGAATGACGCTGATCGGTTACTACTCCATTTTCACCAACGAGACTTGTATAGCGCAGCCTGGGGAGGAGTTACCCCAAAGGTAGTAATACTTGTTTTTTAAATTTTTATTGTGGTTTTGTAAGTGTTTTACGGCTCTCACAACTGCATAAGGATGCGGGACACATTAAACCTTTTCAGTTGGAAGGAAATTTTTGAATTTTGCCCTGGTGGCGGCCGAAGTCTACTCTTATCGATTTTGGACCACCAAAGGATCTTGAACGTGCACAACTTGCACATGGGCCCTCCGAGATTTTTCACCTTTGTCCAGGAAAACTAGGTGTAGACCTTTCCTACCAGAAGATCAGGGATGTGGCTGAAAGACAGCAGTAAGAAGAAGCCAAAGAAGGAGTAGCAGTAGAAAGGCTGCAGAAAGAATCAGATGCCCAGAGGAGGGGGCAAATGAGGTGAGGGGACGGGGGCAGAAAGAGGAGACGAAAGCAGACGATAGAACATTGCTAGAGATCAAAAAAGGAGGTGAAAGGAGACAAATTTAGAGAAGAAAATATTTCGGTCGCTACACGGATTTGAACCGGGACCTTTGAATAAGGGGCCAATACTTTAAACTCTAGGCCACGAGAGCCCCCACTTGTACTTTACTTTTTACTTTTTCCTTCCTCTAGTATCCTTAGGATGTCGAGGGGAGTTGCAGGTTTCGATCTTGTGCTAGGTGTGTAGCGTCTATGATAGATATGTTGTTTCAAGACCTTTTAAACCTTTTCAGTTGAGTTGAATGGTTCTTCCCGCATCCTCATGCTTTTAACGCTCTTGTAAAACTTTCTGGGATCTTCTTTACATTTTGTTACCAGCTGTTCTCCATATACTGTCCAGGATCTCTTCTTAGCTTCTTTTGCTACCCTTACTGTTTAGCGGCGTTCTTTCTGTTCAGAATGTAATCTTCTTCTGTCTTTGATTTCTGCGACATTTTGAATGCCTTTTCTTCAGTTTGATGATTTCCTTAACTTGGTCATTCCACCATATAGTTGTTTTCCTTTTCAGTCATCTTGTTCTTCTTTTAATGCTGTTCACACATGCTTTGAAGTGGCTGCACTCCTATTCAATTGCTCCCGGTTGTTTGGGCAATTTGTGAAATATATCTGTTATACGTTCATGTATCTTATCTTTGATATTGACATTTATTTTTCTGAGATTCACGACTTCTCGTCGGTTCCTTGCTTCTGGCCGTTTCCTGTTTGGTGTGTCGATATTCATGAAGACTGGTCTGTGGCCAGTGTCCATAATGTAATTGGGTATCACTCTTGAGTCTCGAATGTTTCTCAATTTCGATCTTTTGGCCAGTATAAAACCAATTTGAGATGCTGTCTTTAGGTCATTCCTTTTGTACCAAGTTTTAACTTGACTCCTTTTGTGTTGGAAGAAGGGCATGTTCGGCGCATAACTGTAATAGCATTTCTCCATTGCTGTTTTGATCTGTTTCTCTGTCACTGTGTGGTCCCATTTATCTCTTCCACGTCGGTTTCTTTGCTCCCACTCAGCCATTGGAGTCCCCAATGATTGTCACATTATCAATATCGTCCACGGTGTTTAAAAAAGATTTTTGTGGCCGTTTTGAGTTGCTAGGACAATGAGGCCAGAGAGCAAATGCTCTATTAAAATCGTAGAAATATCGGAGTCGTTATCAATGTATTCAAAAAACTGCATTCGAATCACCTTGACATACAGTGAAACTTTAAAATTCTGACGTCAAATTTCTCAAAACTAGGTTTTGCGCAGAGAGAACTTTGTAATTCAGAGGTAGCGATTTGTACAACACAAAGTCTCGCTCAGCAGCAAGCTCTATTCGCTTTACATTCTATGTCATTGTACTAACAGACCCGATAGCATTCTGAAACAATCTAAGCTCTCAATACCGGAAGTTGTGTTCAAGCGCCTAGCAGGC